GCTTATTTGCAGGCAAATAAACTAACATACTCAAGAGCGAGAGCCGGATGTGAATGGGACAAGGCCCCATCACAAAATGACCATTATTTACGGGTTTACGCATATTCCCGATGTACGAGTTCGGTGAAAAAAATAAAATAATATTTTAAAGTGTTTCTATTTTTCGACCAATAAAAATGCTTCCTCCTAATTATACTCGCGTCGTTTTACGAGCCTGTTAAGCCATAAAAAACACCATAAAAGGGGTCACATGGGGAAGTACAACAGCAGTCAACAGGAGGCCAGGGAAAAGACCTGTCACGGTCAGGCTGAGCGGTCAGCAGCAGTAGTGCCACGCCAACCAGCGAGAACTACTATGAGAGATCAACCCAGATCGTCAGCCAGCCTATGAACTATACCACAAGGTAGCTGTCCCAAATCCACACGTTCCTATTGAAATAAATTGCGTAAATCTATTTCTGCTGTTGTCGTATTTCTTTCTTGCAACCATACACTTGTCGATAACAAATCTCTCAGTTTCTAAACAGCTATTAGATATTTCTTAATTCACTTAAATGTAATTCACAGCATGTGTTAAGAGCAGAATGTTACAACAAACGTTATAAATGTAATCAAGTTCCATTTGAAGAAATTATTTAATTTGAAGTTATTTATTAAGGCTAACCTAATCAAACAAAAATTTACCCTTATGTAATTTTTATCCTTTGAAATACAGCCCAGAAATGGATGGCTATCATTTTTAAATTATGTTTTTTAAAATGCAATTTAGAGGAGGACCCTACCATTAGCCCTTGAAAACTAACAATTGATCACATCCATATTGTAAACTCATTGTTCAGTTTACAATATGGATGTGATCAATTACTTAGTGTTAACAGTTCTCACTGTGATACTAATAATAAATAGATGATGCATATTTATGCTCAACATTTAGTTGTTTAACTATGTAGCAGGTTAAAAATTTCTTTTCTTACACTTTTCACTTGTAGAACTCTCTTCCAGCTTCTTGCTTCCCAGTTAACTTTGATCTTCAAAAATTTAAATGTATTATAGATAATGATTGACATTGCATTTAAAGTCTGATGCATAAAATAAAATTAATTGTAATCTTAATTATGGAGAGAGAACAATAAAAGAACAAGAATTCTTGTTCTTTTATTGTTATCTTTCCATAATAGTGTTTTTTTCTCATATTCTCTCACATTCAGTAACCCCTTGCATCTTAGTGGTATTATTGTCTTGCTTGGGGGGAAATGATTTAAAAAAAAAAAGAAACAAATTCAAACCATTATTAGGATAATGAAAATCAGTGATGAAAAGAAATTCAGTGCTGAGACAGTATCTCTGAGAAAGAAGCATGGAAAAATATAAGTTATCTTAATTACATAAACCACTTGAACTCTAATTACCAATTAAGATGCAAGAGTTTCATTAAATTCCAGAAGATTCATTTTCATGTCTTTGATAGAAACTGATTGTATCTGTTTGATAGAGTGTACTTTTCAAAATGATAATCAAGTATAAATGTATAATATTCTTAGCATTGGTAATTTAATATATTAAATAAAAAGAACCATTATTAGATTTTCAAAATATAAAAAACACAATAGAATGATTTCATTGATGTTTTTGTTTTCATAATATTAAAAAGGTAAATAAGAATAAAATGGCAAAAATGTTAGCTCATAAATTATGCAGTTTTTATTAATTCAATACTAAACAGTGTAAAATTTTTATTCACTTAAAAGAAAATTGGAAAATCTTTTCAAAGAGTCAGTTTGATGTTAATTTGCCCAATTTTATATCTGTCATGATTTCCATCTTTAGAATGAAATTGATGTATTTGGTCTCAAAATATATTTTAATAGTAACAACAGGTAAGCAAATGAAAGTTTTATATGGTCATCATTAATTAACAAAAATAAATTCTTAAAAGTTATGAATTAAATAATAATGCTGGATAATAAATATATTTCTTATTGATGATGTGAGATCCCAATAGTTTGTAGTATTTGTGGATAAAAACTTTAAAAGTCTGTATAAATTAAACTTTAGGAAAACAAACAAATTAAGCAAGCTCAAATTATAGTGAATACATTATGAGAATATATTCTATAATTAATCAGTCTTAGACAAAATAAAAATGACTTTTACTGAAAATTATTAATAAGATATGATATCCCTACAGAATAAATACTAAGTTAAAATAACATTTTTATTAACTTATGGAGAAAGATAAAAATACACTGTAAAATGCCTCAACAATTTCTAGAGTATAAAAATTTTGGATTTACACTTTGTCTTCTTTCTTATTTTGCTTTCCTTTTTCTTTGTGGCTGAGTTGAATATTTTTACAAGGAAAAATTTTCTATCACCCAACTTACTGGTTAAACATCAGGATGAAGGAAATCTAGAGGTCTCAATATTGGGTAGAAACTGAAAGTAGATGTCTCATGTTATGATGGAGAATGCAGAAAGTCTATGGAGGTTATCACTTAAGGAAGTTATTGTTATCTTCTGACAATGTTAGTTCCCACCATATATAAGGTATAATTGGTTCGGGTGTATATTGGCCTTTTTTAATGATTAAAAGATAATGTACAAAGTGTTGATAAATATAAAATCAATCTTTATATAACACTATAATAATACAGAAGGATAAGGTGAAAGCTGAAGCTTCAAGAGTTCAAGTGTAAAAGTCCTAGTGAATAAGAGGGAGAGAGAGAGAGAGTCTGAGTGGAAGTAAATATATATAGGCTAGTGTACCTCTGCTGTCAAAAATTATGGCAATTTTTGGAAAGTTTTAACAGTGAGATGCAATGAAACAAAAAATGAATGTATTAAGATTCAATAAAATGGAGATAAAGAATTCAAAACTAAAATAGAGGCCAATTAACCATTTATTTAATCCATTCCTTTTATATTTTCTAGATGTTTGATGGTATTTATGATTCAGTGATTATTCTTGGTATAAATACAATTTACTTTCCATGTTAAAAAATTTATCTGTTTAATATAACTGAAATAGAAATAGCTCCTGGAAGAAAAAGATTAGCAACAGAATGAAATGCCTATTTCAAGACCAAGTTGAATAAGACAATCACTTAATAGACAAAGATATACCTGATTGCCTGACATGAAAGGCTTGAACAAATAAGACTGTAATCTAAGAAACGTAGTAGTAAAAGAACTGATTAATTAAACAGTTCATTTTGCCTAGGAACTAATTTTGTCTAAAGACAGTTAAATATTTTATTTGGATAGATTATTAAAATGACTAAGGAAAGTAATCACACATAGATTTACTATTAATTTGGCTTTGTTTGCATGGTGATTTTCATCATCTGTCTATTTTTAGAGATGTTGAAATTTTAGTTTTCCTGTTATCCATTTTTATTAATTTATTTTTCCGTCACCATAAGTCTGATGATATCATGAGCATCATGCTTTGGTAATAATGTTTAAAAACAGGTCCATCATTTGATAAAAACTTTTTTTAAAGTACTTTTATTTATTTCACAACAGTAGTTTATGAATTTGAAAGGACATATTCATGATAGCATATTTTAATATTTGTTGTATTTGTTATACTTGGATGTTAAATTTTAAATTTAAGATTTTATGATTAAAGTTTAAAATTATGCTAATGGGCATGAGCAGGTACTATAGATTGAATATTGACGACAATTGCTAATAAAATAATTCCAGTAATAATTTGAGCTAAGAAATTTGATAAGACAATTCTTGACAATGGAGTAAAAATATTAGAACACTGAAGAACTATAAATATACAAGTAATTTGTTGCCATTTGCAGCAGATCTCTACATATTTTATTGTTGACATAAAATTTGCAAAACATTTTATTTTTATGTCACTTTTTTGAGGAAAGCAACCTCTCGGTCTTAAATTAATTTCAGTTTCAGAAAAAATAAATAATATCTATCATTAATTTATTTTATATTTTACAAGTATTAGTTTTACTACAAAGTTCCGCTTTAAAAATATGGTGAATAATTATTTTTTTACAAACATTTGGCAGAAATCTCAGAATCCACAAATAAAGTTAGCACTTTTAAACAATACATAAATAAATATGAAAACATAAGTTTCACAAAATACTTTAAAACAAAAATAAAAAATATTGCAAACCTGCAGTTTTAATTTAAAATATAGTTTAAATTAAATTTATAATCCCATAATCAACAAAAAAACTAATGGTTAAGTAAGAAGAGTAAGACTTAAAAAGATCATTCTATTTTTCTTCAATAAAATGTTAAACTTTAACATTTTATTGAAGAAAAATAGAATTTTTTTAAGTTTTATCCTAGAAAATTAGTTTGTATGCTTTTATTTTTAATTTAATTTTTAATTCTTACTCAGTGTGTATAATTATCTGTGGTGATTCTTCCTTTTTCATTTTGTATAAAAAAGTTCGTTGATTTTAAAAAAGTTCGTTGATTTCATCATGCACACGCACACACATTTCATGCCGAAGAATATCAAAAGTTAAAATTTTTGCATTGTTAATCTTGACAACTTTGACGTAAAAACCTCGCAATAAGAAAAACAATCCTCCTTTCTTTCTTTCTTTCGAACGATGTTGAAAAATTCTGTCGTTATTAAACAAAATGCAGTCAATAAGTAATGATGTTGAAAGATTTGAAAATATTTGAAAATTTGAAATATTTTAAAAATGTTTTTGTTTTAAAGAAATAAATAATTCCGGATAATTAAAAAAAAACAACTGTCACGAAGAAGAATCAAAAGAAAAAATATTTGCCAAATGACAACATTCGGACACATTTTTCTTTCATTGTGGTTACTTAAAAAATTAAAATTAGTCACTCCATAAAAATACTTTTTACGATAAAAAGGTAATATATATATATATATATATATATATATATATATATATATATATATATATATATAAAATTAAGAATAAAATTTGGGCTAGAAAAAAATAAAGAAAGAAAATAAAGTAATAAATGTTGCTTACCCGTATAATAATAATAGTTTTTCTGTCATAATTAGGTAGGCAGCAGTCTACTTTTGAATTATCTCGTTACTGAAATTAAAACAAAAATAAAATGTTTAAGATAAATACACGATAACAGAGTTTTAAAGTTCCAAAAGATTAAAGAACGAGGTAGACAAGTCTTTGTTATTGTTATTATTATGTTATAAGGTGTATTGGACACCTTGGCGTGGTGTAATGGTTAGTAAGCTTGTCTCGCTATTCAATTACTACTGAAAAGTGAGTTCGATCCTCACTAGGTGCCACATACTTTCGGCCTTGTGCCACATCTAAGCTATGCTTAGAAAATAAATGTATACCTTGTAATTTACTTTTCTTTAAACATCTGTCAATACTGGAAAGGGCAAAAAAGTGTATTTAAATTAAATTAAAATTAGTTTCTTGTTATTAAGAGCTAGAGTTGAGTTTTGAATTTTCTTGTCGCTTATCGAATTTGGTAACCACAGGCAACACACAACAGTAACACAATTTCTTATAGTTTACGCTTGATAGACCGATTACCTCTGTTTGCCACTTGAAACAGGTAGGATGACGTACAGGCAGCCAGTAAAAAATGCGAATGAATAAGATCTCACATTTAGGATGACGAATGTCAAAAAAGCAAAATAGGACACGAGTTAGAGCCGTAAAAAATGCAATTTGGGATTGTGATACAAAGGTTTGTTTTGTTTCTCAGAATTTCTACTTTTTAAATTTACATTTTAAATTTTCTATTTTGTGGAATGATTCGCTTATGGATAGGAATGAATCCCACTTTAAACTCATTAAAGTTAGGTAAGAAACATTATCTTTTTGATTTTTATAAAACTAAAACTATAACTTACACCACCTTTTCTTGTTAGCTTTACTTTTTGCTGTGTGACAGAATTGTTTACATTTTTTAAAGTAAACTAATAACTAGTTTGTTCCAAAATGTTCTCTAATTCACTTCTACTCTCTTAAACTAAATAAAAGTTTCACAAAGCATGACACCTTATTTTTTCTTAAGCATTTTTTCTTTTTTGACCAACTTATTTTTGATTACCTTCCCACCTGTTGCTTTAAGATTTCTCTCTACAAATGAAAGATTCATAAAAAAAAAAAAAAAAAATCAATGCAATCGATTATTTAATGAAGACAAAATACTCAGAGGAAGGTTTGACAAATCAGCAAGCATTACTAAAAATATTTAGATACATATCTTGAATTTATGATCCAAGTGCGAAAAGGAAGGAGGATAAGAACTTTTATTCTTTCTTACTTGTTCCCTTTAGTGCAGTGAATCAATAACGAAATAAATAACTTCTTTAGTTCTTTATGCCGTATCCCTTCAGGACGTTAGAGATCATTGGTCTCCACAATTTCCTTTCCTTTGTAGCCCTTTATAAATTTTGTCTTCTTGTTGTTATCTCTCCTAAACCTTGCTCCGCCATCCATATTTTTTCAAACTCGTTAGGTAGGTTGTATGTTGTTTTCCTGTCTCTCTTGCCTTCAGTCTTTCCTGTGAGTATCAAATTTTCCAAGTACTCTATCCTCATTGTGTGTCCTAAAAATATCAACTGGCTCTTTATGATGTTAAGTGTAATTGTCCTTTTTGTTTCCATTTTCTTTAAAACTTCGTCGTTGCTCACATGTTCGGTCCATGGTATTCTCAGCATACTTCTATAGAATCACTTTTCTATTGCTTCAAACCTCTTCTTCATCTGTGAGGAAATTGTCCAGCATTCACTGCCATATGAGGAATGATATTATATAATAGAACAGTACTCTTTTCTTTATTTCTAACGATTTTTTCTGTTTCTTAAATATTTTGCTTAGCTTTTGGAAGACATCTTTTACTATTCCAATGCACCTTCGGATTTAGTATCGCACTCAAGGAAAACTAAAAACAATAGGATGCATGTTAAAACACTTCCCAGATATTTAAATTGTTGTATTTGCTTGATTTTGATATCTCCGATTTGATTTGTAATTTGCATGTTGGGCTGTTCCTTTTTCTAACAACCAAGCATTCTGTCTTCTTGCAATTGATTTTTTTACCTTATGTTTCTTGTCACGTTATGGGGAGAGGTGGTTTGTTTGTTTTTATTTGTGTTGTAAACTCAAAACTATCACTTCCGCAATGTAAATCATTGAGAGAGAGAGAGAGAGAGAGAGAGAGAGAGAGAGAGAGAGAGAGAGATTTAAGTTAAGTAATATCAGGAAATAAATCATTTATTATAAATGTGTGTGTGTGTGTGATGAAAGTAGAGAATAATATAGACGTGCTAAGGTAATCAATGCTGTACAAACTGATTATCAGGGCAAACTGAGTCATCGTCGGAAATCTACACTTCTATGGTGATAGTGTGATGCTTGTTTTTAGCGCATATATCTATTGTACATTTAACGATTCAAGAAACTCCACTTGTGGATCAACAAATAAATATATATTGAAATATAACATACAAAACAATCATGCAATGAAGTGTAATGATTAAGGGAAAAGAGTTGTTCCCCTTCAACTGTATTCTGATTTATGATTGAATGTTCGAAAGAGTTTCTCTTGAATAAGAATGTTCAGGATTCTATGTTGAATAGAGTTTGCTGTTAGAATAGAATGCAGTTAATTAAGAAATGTGTTGTTTAGAGAAATTAATAGAGTTCTGGTTTATGAACTTAGCTGAGTTACAGAGAGAGATATGTATAATGTGTTACAAAAATCTGTGTCTGTGTGTGCGCTTGAAATATTGTGAGTAAAGTCGTAGATTTGTGTGGACAGGCGAAATAGCTGAACTCTACTGGCGGCTTGTGGCAAAATTGCTTCTTTTAAAGGTACCGGTAAGCTCCGAGCGAAAACGCGGGAAAAATTGATTTAGTATGTTTGATTGGTTAAAATTTGACCAATCACTGATTTTGTATTAAAGAAACACGTGAGCAAGTTCACGACCGAAAAATTCAAAGTGATGACTGCGATTGCTAAATTGTCTTATAGAAAATCAGTATTGATTTACTAGCCAATCACAGACGAATAAATTATGGGCGTGGAAAAGCATAGCAGTTGCTACAATAGTACGTAAATATATCTTCAATCCATAGGATCCGCACAAGAAGAAAAAAATAATAGAAAGCAATTTTAAAACAAATCCGGGCTATGCATTCGAAAAAATACCATGACAGGATCTAATTGGCTCACGTCAACAGAGTATGGAAAAAAATTAGTTAACTCATTAGGCGCACAATAAAAAGGATTCTTGTCGTACCCTGTTCGCACTCACACATTACTTAAAAACAACAGGAAGAAAAAACTTAACCAGCATTGCTGTAAGGCTGATTCAGGATATAGAAAGGTCTCAAAATAATGAGAAAAAAGTTCCGCGGTTAAGATGACAAGGATATTGTCCTCGGTTGCGTCCAATCTGGGACCATGTGGGTGAATTGATGGCTCGTATCGACCCCGAACATCTCGTGCCCATTGATCTCGCATATGCGTGTGATAATGTGTCGCCCCGTTGTCTGGGTTGAAACGGCTGGTGTTTCTGACGCTGCTAGCCGTGGCAAGGATGGTGGTGTGGACGTCGCGGATGGAAGAAGTTATACAACACGAACGTTATCAGGATCTGGTTGGGAACCTTTGGTATCAGCTCAGGATGAAAATCAGAACTGAAGAAAAGGGTTTTCTATCGGCAGATTTCAACGAAAGTTGAGTAAATGCAGCGAGCCTACTTTGCGTGAACGGGTCCAGCCATGATTTTCTGTGCCTTTTTGACACAATTGGGCGGCTTCCTGTTGGATGCCTACCCTGGTTTGTTTTCCTAGTTACTGTGAATAATTGTTGTTCACGGCCTGATCCTGGCATTTTCTTTTGTTATGATTCATGTCAAGATTCCCAACCTCCCCAATTTATTTATTTATTTATTTTTTTTTTCATTCCCACTTTTTATCTTGATTGGGTCAGCTTTTGATTTTCCCTCTCCATAATTTATTTTTTCCTTCCTGAAACAATTGTATTCTGCCGATAGGCAAAATCAAGACGATCACACTCACTAAAGGTGACTTTAGTGATTGATCGTCTTGATTTTGCCTATCGGCAGAATACAATTGTTTCAATTGGATGGAGAGATTTTACTAACATATTTTATTTTTTAGTTTGAATGTTTTCTTGTATTTCATTTTCGTTATTGGGTTCATCTCCTCCCCCTTAATTTCATGCAATATACTTTTGTAAGAAAAATGTAACAATAAAAAGATATTTGCATATATTGGAAAATATTTATGTCATGAATGTTTTTTAGTAGGACTCTCTCCCCTTTGAGTATACGGTATTGTAGTTTATTTAGGATGAATGGAGATGAATGAATTCTTGTGGTGTTTGAGTAAATTGTAATGAATGAATGGGTCGCGAATCAGATTAACTAGGTTTCCCCCTCAGCCTTGTGCCACAATTGTATTCTTTATGCAACAATGAGAATCAGTGTATGTCTGTTCCAGTAGCAGCCGACAGCCGAGCCCACGGTTCCAGCCATCAGCAGCAGTTTCAGCCAGTCTTCATCATCTCTAGCTCACCACTGGCTGCCTCTTCAACCGGCCTCCAGCTCCAGCCATCCTTCCCAGCAGCAGCGATATTCATTAAACTGTGCTTTTTAGGACAAAGCTCTGCAGCGACTACAAACTGTCCTCTTCTCACACTGTACCTGAGCATGCAGAGTTGTTTTTGCCTCGTGCACTGTAACCTTATTTTTGTTGATGTATTTTCTTTAATGAAAATAAACTTGGCAATATATCTTTTACTCAAGTCTTCGTTTTGTTTGTTGTTGTCTTCCGCCATTCAATATATGTTTGCGAGCTAATATACCCCATATAGACTGTCATACCCTCAAATTCATCATGTTTAAGCCCCAAGCAGCTAACGGCTCCCACATAAAGACTTATGGTACGAAAACTCTCACTCTTGGCATGCAACGTGATTTTATATGGTCATTTACTGAAGCCAATGTCAAAACACCCATACTCAGAGCAGATTTCTTAGCAT